CTTCTGCCTCAGCCTCCTGACTAGCTGGGACTACAGGTATGGGCCACCATACCTGGCTAATTTTTGCATTTTAGTAGAGATGCGGTTTCACCATATTGGCCAGGCTGGTCTTGAACTCTTGAACTCAATTAATCTGCCTGCTTTTGCCTCCCAAAGTGCTGGGATCATAGGTGTGATCCGCTGCACCTGGCCGACAGGTTATTTTTATGGAAACGTGTCCATTTTCTTGTAACGTTCAGAGACTGGTCTTACATAAACCTCCATTTGGGCTGGTTTTTGACAGCATGCTGGCGGGGCGGGGTGGGGCATGCTGGCTCATGATACCGAGGCAGAGGTCCACGTTCCGCTCCCCACCGATGTTGCGCCGAGTGCCGCCCCATCCTCACCAGGCCCTCGGAATTCCTGAGTGTCTAGTGGGCCTCCTCCGACAAGAGCCAGCAGGTTAGGGGAGTCCAGGCTCCTGCATGCTGGCCTTCCTTGGGAGGTGAAAGTTCCTGCTCCTTCAGGGAGGGGAAGCGGTGGAGCACCTGTTCCAAGCTGGAGTGTGGGAGGAGTTTCTTTTCTTTTTTTTTTTTGATGAGGTCTCCCTCTGTCACCCATGCTGGAGTCAGGCTGGAGTGCAGTGGTGCAAGCCCGGCTCACTGCAACCTCCGCCTCCCAGGTTCAAGCAATTCTTCCGCCTCAGCCTCCTGAGTAGCTGGGATAACAGGTGCGTGTCACTCCAGCCTGGCTAATTTTTATATTTTTAGGAGAGACGGGGTTTCACCATATTAGTCAGGTTGGTCCCGAACTCCCAACCTCAACTGATCCACCCACCTGGGCCTCCCAAAGTGCTGGGATTCCAGGCGTGAGTCACCACGCCGGCCAGGATTCTGGTTCTGGGTTGCTAGGCCGGCCTTCCTGACCCTGTTAGAGAAGGCTGGCTTTGGTTGGCAGGTCCAGCTTCTGCAGAACTAGGTCTAGGGCAGGCAGGAAAGAAAACCGGGGGCCTCCCCCTGCACTGTTTCACAGCCGATTTCTGTCATCCGCAAGAGTCTCACCTGTGACGTCCAGGATCTTAGTTGTCCTGAGTGGGAGGAAGAGGGAGAAGTCCCCCAGCTCACCTTCCTGAAAGCAGAAGTCCCTCAGGCCTGCCAGGGCAGCCGTGTCTGCCTGCAAGGAGGCCGCTGAGTGCTGTGTGTGAAAGAGCCTTGCGAACTTAAGGCGCGGTTCTCTGCCAGGTGTCCGCCATCCCCAGAGACCTCCCTCCACAAATCCCAGCACATTGTGTGCTTACAGGGACCTTGTCAAATGAGGCTCAGCTGAGGCACTGCGAGGCGCTCCCAGGCAAACCTTTCGTTTCTGGCTTTCCAGAAGGTTGATTTCATTTGCCGTCCCATGCCTGGCTGGGCAGAAGGTTCCCAGGGAATTTAAGCAGTGAGATTTGAGGCATTCTCAGGAGCTGGGCTCCTTTCGTTTGGGAAGATGGAGGGGAGGCAGGCGTTGGTGGGAGCGCTCTGCACCTGTGCACTCACAGATGCTGGAGTAGAAGCGTGAGGGAGTGGGTGGGGAGGGTGCTGGCTGGCCTCCAGCTCTGCTCTGGGAGCCTGAGTTCGGTGGGGCGGGGAGCAGTTCTTGGGGGCAAGGGTCTAGCAGGTGGAGGCCCAGCAGGTTGTGCGGTAAGAGACAGGATTGAGGCGGATGGTGGCCGTGGGTTGCTGGTGGGCACAGCTGTGGGGGAACGCTGCAGGAGGGTGGGCCAGGAAGCCCACCGGCCTGGCCCTGGCTGTTCACTGCAGGGGGCAAGCGTGATGAAGAGCTGGTCCTGCCCATCAACTCCTCGATGAGCGTCACTCTGCACCAGGACCAGGTAAGTGTGGACTGGTGACCAAACGCCACAGTGCCATTTACAGAACATTTGTACAACAGCTGGTACCAGCCGGGCTTGGTGGCTCACCTCTGCAACCACCCCAGCATTTTGGGAGGCTGACGTGGGAGGATCTCTTGAGCCCAGGAGTTGGAGACCACAGTGAACTATGATCTGTGCTCCAGCTTGGGCGACAGAGCTTGTCTCTGACACAAAACAGCAATTGGTACCGTTTTACCTAAAAGCTAGGATGATGGCTTAGCAATCACTCCCAGCCAGCACACAGCGGCTGTTCAGTGTTAGGAGAGCTTCCCACAGCACAGCACACACCTTCCCCAGGTCTCCTCAAACATGCACACCGTGCCCCAGGGGCTCCTTTGGGAGTCCCAGTCCATTCAGGATGAGGCCTGGTTGCTACACAGCACATGGGCTGTGCTTTTGGCTCCTATGGGCTTCCCCACGGCCGAGCTAAGGCCATCTTCACTCGAGTGGGCAGCCACGAGGCTTTGTTAGCGGAAGGGGGCACCTGGCTGGCATCGGTCCTCAGTACTGGACTCTGAGGTGGCCCTGGGTTTCCTTTTCAGTTAAAAACCACCACAACGGCCGCCATCAGCAAGGACTTCACTGAGGACCGGGTTTGGCTCAACGGCCGGGAGGAGGACGTGGGGCAGCCGCGCCTCCAGGCCTGCCTGCAGGAGAGTGAGTTGGGGTTCCTGCAAGCCCATCCCTCCCTGTTGTCAGCAGGGTCCAAGTGTCCAGAAAGTGCTTCTGCCTCTGGGCCCCTCCTGAGGCTGCAGGGCATGGCTGGGAACCAGACCTTTGGGCTTCCCAGCTCTGGGGCAGTGGCCCACCTCCAGGACCAGCTGAGTCTGGGCCTGCGGTCTGGGGTTTTCCTGGGAAAGAGATCTCCACAACGAGTTTGGCAGGTAGAGACGTGGTGTTCAGCTGTGAGTCCGGGGCAGGTGGGCAGGAACAGGTCGGACAGGGTGCTGGGCCACATGCCATCTCATTCTCTGCAGTCCGCCGCCTGGCCCAGAAGCGGAGGAACGCCTGGGACGGGGACCTGCCGCCCTCCAGCCTGAGCTGCAAGGTGCACGTGGCTTCGGTGAACAACTTCCCCACGGCTGCGGGCCTGGCCTCCTCGGCGGCGGGCTACGCCTGCCTAGGTGGGTGCCTGCAGAGACCTGCGGGGTTGCAGGCTATGGGCACGGGAGCCACTGCGCTCTGCCCGTGTCAGGAAGCCCAGCGCCATGCGCTGAACGAGCACCTACCTCTCAGGCCTCCCTGGTCTCTGGAGTTGTTCGGGCTCTTCCCAGAGCACATCTGAACCAGCGTCTTCCAGCTGCAGCAGGTGCAGGCTCACGCCCGTGATCTTAGCACTTCAGAGGCTGATGGGGAGAAATCACTTGAGGCCAGAAGTTCAAGACCAGCCTGGGCAACATAGGGAGACCCCATCTCTACAGAAAATAAAACAATCTTTCAGTTGCTCCATGTGGGGCCCTACAAGGTTGTCAGTGACAGAAACCACTTCAGACTGGTTCAGACCTAAAATAGTGATGACCTTGCGGTTGACATAACCTAGGATTCCAGTGGGCACAGCTGGTTGCAGGCCCCTCTGGACCCAGCTCTCCGCCGGCACCAGGCCACTCTGGCGGCTTCCCAACCAGTGGCAGAGCCCATCCCCACAGTGGTGGTCTCACACCGTCTTCACCCCTCAACTCAAGGGCTCTAGTACCTTCCCTGAACCACCCTCCATGACCAGGGTGGTGGGTAGCCAGGCCTGGAGGTGGGGTCACCCTGCTGGAGCCTTCTGGACTGAGGGGAGAAGGTGGCTCCAGTGCTGGGTGGGCAGGGGCACAATCTGGTGGAGTCCTGCTCTGTCCTGGCATCAGTATCTGCCCCACATGACCTTGCCAACTCTTCCCACCCTTAAAGCCCAGCTTGGGTGTTCTGGGGGCCTCCCTCCAGCCCCATGGTGGGTCAGAATCCCCCAGGTGACTTCCTGCTCTGCTACAGGGGCCTTTTGTCACCCTTGTGTCAGGCCGCAAGCTCTGCCAGCCTCGTACAGCGAGTGCCGAGAGCTGAGCTCGTGGAGGGGTGGACGGCTGAGCCAGTGCTGGCCTCAGGCTGATGGCTCAGAAGCCCTGCCATCTGGAAATCTCCTTAGCTATGGGGTGCCGGGTGTTCCGGGGTGGTGAGCTGGCAGGGAGCACAGCGCAGGCAGCTCTGATGACCCCTCCACGCCCCCGTGCCTGCAGCCTACACCCTGGCCCACGTCTACGGCGTGGAGAGTGACCTCTCAGAAGTGGCTCGCCGGGGCTCAGGCAGTGCCTGCCGGAGCCTGTATGGGGGCTTTGTGGAGTGGCAGATGGGAGAGCAGGCTGATGGGAAGGACAGCTGTTGCCCGGCAAGTGGCCCCCGAGTCGCACTGGCCTGAACTCCGCGTCCTTATCCTGGTGGTGAGTGGGGTGGCGTGTAGCCCCCGTCGGGTGGCTTCTGCCCCTAGTCAGGGCTGCTGCTGGGAACGGGAGGGAAGGCATCCCATCCAGGCATCGCTTGGCTCCTGGGGTCAGTGGGGCTAAAGCCACCACTGTTTGGCTGTGTGTTCAGGAAGTGCTCCCATGCAGCGCCCCTGCTGTGGCTGGGAGGCCTCCGTGGTCATGAAGGAGGCACTGACTCCCACCCCTGCTGCCTGCATCAGCCAGGGAGGGCCAAGTGTCGGGAGCTGCAGTCCCTGGGGCTGGGCTCTGTGGGGTGTAGCCCAGGTTGTTTCTCTGTGCAGGTGAGCGCTGAGAAGAAGCTGACGGGCAGCACTGTGGGCATGCAGGCCAGTGTGAAGACCAGCCCCCTGCTGCGGGTGAGGCCAGGAGTGGGTGACCCTGGGGCTCCGGGGGTCACGCTTGTGCCCAGCTCTGCCCTCAGCCTCTTGCCAAGACCAGGTGGAAGAGCCAAACCCAGAGACAGGGCTTGAGCCGGGCCTCCACGCCTGGAGCCTTGCCCCAATCCCTGTGCTGTCGAGACCCCCAGCGGCTCCATGTAAAACACCCCATGCGTGCCTTGCAGTTCCGGGCCGAGTCTGTGGTGCCCGCACGTATGGCGGAGATAACCCGTTGCATCCAGGAGCGAGACTTTCAGGGCTTCGCCCAGCTCACCATGCAGGACAGCAACCAGTTCCACGCCACCTGCCTTGACACATTTCCGCCCATCTCCTACCTCAACCACGTCTCCTGGCGTATCATCCACCTGGTGCACCGCTTCAACGCCCACCACGGGGACACCAAGGTGACTCAGGCTGGGAGGGCTGTAGCACGTGTCTAGCCGTGTACTGCTGTGGAGGCGGTCCTGAGACCGGCGTGCACAGGAATCTGTCTGAAAGCTCTGCCCTGCTGTGTGCCAAGCTCACCGACAATGTGGGTTCTTGGGTTTCGTTTTTTGGCTTGCTTGGCTCACCGCCCCACTGCCTTTTCCCTGGGTTCACAGGCAGAGGTGTTAAGTAACAGGCACTTGGGGCCACAGCTCTGCTCCAGTGTGGCCCTGAGGGCCCAGACTGAGCTCTTGGAGACCTCAGGGCCCCCAGGCAGGCCAGAGGGTTGTGGGTACAAGGCCAGGCACCACGCATACAGCAGGGTCACTGCCATGGGTTCCAGGTGGCGTATACCTTTGACGCGGGCCCCAATGCTGTGATCTTCACCCTGGAGGACACCGTGGCTGACTTTGTGGCTGCTGTAAGGCACACCTTTCCCCCGGGGTCCAATGGAGACACGTGAGTGTGGACCCCTCCCCTCCTCCTCTTTGGGAGATGGTGCCCAGAACATCCTTCCTGAAGGGACGGAGGCAGCTGAAGGCTGTGACACTGACTGGGCGTCCCATGGCAGGTGGCCATCCCCCAAGTGTGGGACCCACACAGTGTGTCCCCGTGGAGCCATCCCACAGCCCACGTCCACAAGGAGAAAGGCGAGGCCACACGCACCTGTGTGAGCGACACCCAGGGTCTCCCACCTCCTGAGAGATAGGGTCCCCTGCAGCTCGGGAGCCCGCAGGCCTCTAGTCCACAGAAGAGCGGCTTCTTAGGAAACACGCATGCGTTCTCAGGAGCCCGTACACGTGTCTGACATTCGGAAGGAAAGGGTTCAAAGCCTCCAACTTCCTCCTCGCTGAAATGAGTCAGAACCAGTCCAGGCGGCCGGTGTTGTTCCTTCCCTGCAGTTGGGTGTTCTTTCTGGGGTGGGGTCCAGCAGCTGCCTCCTGGTACCGTGGAGCCCCCATGTCCACCCTCCTCAGTGTGTAGCTCAGGCCATGGGCAGTCAGTTTCTTCCTCCCGTGGTTGTTGGTCTCATTCTCACTGTGAGGGGCGCCTCCTGCTGAAGGGTGTCTGGAAGCCTGTGGGGATGTGTGTCTGCCCTGGATGGAGGCAATATTGACTTCTGATGATGGGGGGCCTGCCCCGTGAGACAATGGACTGAGACCCACACCCCAGGACTGCCTTCCTGGGCAGTGCCAGGCCTGTGCCCCTGCTCCAGGTGGGGCGTGCAGGCTTTCGCCATTGTGCGGAACAGCGTGACAAGCGCACCAGCTTGAACTGAGAGCTTCTCTAAGCTGTTAACCCCATAGGGCTGGGCAGCAGCCTTGGTCACACACGGACCCAGGCCTCTTGAAGGTCCCCTCAGAGCGGCCCCAGCCTGGGCATAGCTGTTTACCACATAACCTCAAACTTACTGTCCCAGCACTTTGGGAGGCTGAGGCAGGCAGATCACCTGAGGTCAGGAGTTCAAGACCATCCTGGCCAAGATGGTGAAACTCCGTCTCTGAAAAATTCAAAAATTACCTGGGCATGGTGGTGGGCACCTGTAGTCCCAGCTTCTCCGGAGGCTGAGGCAGGAGAATTGCTTGAACCTGGGAGGCAGAGGTTGCAGTGAGCCGAGGTGACGCCCCTGCACTCCAGCCTGGGCAACGGAGCGAGACTCCATCTCAAGAGCATATGATCCCACATCCCATGTTGTGGAGACATTCACAGGGGTGTGGAGCCACCTCCTTAGCTTTTCCATCCCCTCTTAAAGAAACCTGTCCCCACAGCAGCCACCTGCCATCTCCCCTCCCTGGGCCCTGCCAGCCAGGAATACCTTCCCGTCTCCGGCCTTGCCTGTTTTAGACGCTTAGAGAAATGCACGTGTATACCATGCCCCTGCCCTGCTTTTCCAGGTTTCTGAAGGGGCTGCAGGTGAAGCCGGCCCCTCTCCCCGCTGAGCTTGAGGCTGCGCTGGCCATGGAGCCGACTCCCGGTGGGATCAAGTACATCATCGCCACTCAGGTGAGGCCCAGTACCCTGTGGGGTTACCTTTCCTGCCAGGGGCCCGCCCAGGCTCAGCCCAGCTCCCTGTCCCTACCGTGTTTCAGGCAGGAAGCCAGAATGCCTTTGGCTCTGTGTTTCGTTCATTTGCTCTCGAATAGGAGGCTGCAGGCCACTGGCAAGGCTCCGAGCAGCAGGACTGGGCGAGGCTGGGGGTGGAGGGACGAGTGATGCAGGCTGCCAGGGAGACAAGTGGGGAGTTCCTGGGGGTGCTGCTGGGGTCCCGGGGACAGCCTCTCTCCCTAGGGCTCCCCCAACCCCAACTGGCCCAGTAGACCCGGACTCCCTTTCTGACCTGCTCAGAGGGCCACGCCCCCATCGGCAATCACGCCCGCGAGCCGATGCCTTCGCCTTCCTCTCAAGGGCCGCGTGCACAGCGCTGTATGCTTCCAGGCACTGTGGGACTCTGTCCATCCAGGCAGAGGGCTTCCAGCTGGCAGGGGCAGCTGTGCCTGCAGGAGCTGGGTGTGGGTGTCACTTGGGTGGTGTAGCTTCTGGCCAGGACCCACCGGAAGGGTGGGGCACACTGCTGCTCTCCTGCGGCCAGCCCCTACACATGCCGGGGCACAGGGCGGCATGCTGCCGTTGCTGGTGACCTGACATGGATTTCTACCTCCAGGTGGGGCCGGGGCCTCAAATCCTGGACGATCCCTGCAGCCACCTCCTGGGTCCTGACGGTCTGCCGAAGCCAGCTGCCTGACCGCCTCCGCAGGACCGCACGCCAGCCTGGAGAAGGGGTGTCCTCACCGGAGCTAGAGAGCGGGTGTGGTGGACTGGCTGGACCGCTGGGACTTGTGTGTGGTGGCCTGGCTCCGGGCCCATGGGCAGCATGCCGTGGGGCAGTGCGGGGAGACCTGCAGCTGCTGGATGTCAGGAGAGGTCCCTGCCGAGTGCCTCCGCTGCCCTGAGCCGCACCAGCACTTTGCCAAGATGGATGGGGTCAGGGCGTGAAAGCTGGCAGAGCCGGGTGCAGCAGGGCTGAAGGGCTTTCTCACCGTGCTCTGGCTGTTCCCCCTCCTCCAAGACGGGAGCTCGGCAGGGAGTTGGCGTCTCTCAGGGCCAGAGAAGGGGTCAGTGTGCTGGAGCAGCCACCCCGGGCCTCAGGAAGCCACAAAGTATCTCGGCTGGTGGCTACCCATGCTACCTCTGCTGAGACCCTGCCCCGGGCCCAGGTGTGGCTGGAATGGTGGCAGGAGTGGGCACCAGTGCGGCCCTGGTGGCCATGGGAATAAACTGGCATTGCGGCCTCTGCCTCCTGCTGTTTTCCTTTTTTGTTGTTTAGATTCAGTGAGGCCCTCTTGTTTTCCTGTTTCCTAAACCAGCATTCCCGGGCTCTTGCTCTGAGTGGCCCTGGGACTTGTCAGAGAGTCCAGCTGTGCCCTATGAGGGCTGGGGGAGCAGGCTGGGTAAAGGCACGGGAGGCTCCCCTCAAACCCCACACTGGCTCAGGTGGGACCCTTGGGCAGCCCCAGGCCTAAAGTCTTCCCGTGGACACTGGGCCCACCACCCCTCACCTCCCTCTTACCACCTCTGCTGCCCTTTCCCCACCCAACCCCTGCTTCCCATCCCCAGGCCGGGCGTGACAGGGCGGCTGTCCCTGTGCACATCCTGTCCCCTCCCCGAGTCTCAGTCACAGTCAGGTGATGGCGAGGGGAGGCAGGCCCACAGTGTTGGACCCAGGCCACACCTGTGCCAGCCTAGAGCCAGGGTGAAGAAATGGGGGCAGGACCTCTGGCCGCCACGAGGAGGCCACCCTTGGCCCTGGTAGCATCGGAGTGCAGAGGTGGTCCTGGGCTGTAGGGGTGGCCTCCACCCCACAAGGCTCTGGATAGGCGGATCCGCTCAGGAAGCCGACCCTTCACACCTTTCTCTGCCATTCCTAGAAGGCTGGTTGACATGACAACGCTTGGAAGTCCGGGCTGGGCAGGGACACTAGGCAGTGCGGGAGAGCTGAAGCCGGGAAACGCAGACTCCCCGCCTGGGCTGGGGCTGCCACGCAGGGCCCCTCTGGAGCTTCCGTCGGTCTGGAGAGGGCGGGGGCAGAAGGCTCCGGGACAGCCCCGCACCCTACAGAGGCGGGTCTCCGCCCACCCGCGGTCACCTGGGGGGCTGGGGGCGGGGCCGGGGCGGGGCTCGGCCGGGAGCGCAGGGCCTGCAGTGTGCGCCTAGCAGTGTCCCAGCCGGGTCCGCGCAGCCATGGGGCAGATCGAGTGGGCCATGTGGGCCAACGAGCAGGCGCTGGCGTCCGGCCTGAGTGAGTGCGCAGCAGGGGCAGGGGCGGTGGAGGCTGCAGCCTGGGCGTGTCCCAAGGCCCCAGCCGGGGACCTCAGGCTACTTACCGGGCGGGGAAGTGGGGCGCCAGGCGGGCTGGGCTGGGATGGGGTCAGGCCCGGAGAGTGCGGGGAACCAGGGCGGGACCTTCAGGCCGTGGGCTGGAAGGAAGAGTCCCGAGACCCCCAACAGTCCGCTTGCAGACCCAGCAGAGCGGCGCCTCCTTCCCCATTCGCTTCCCTCCGTTCCCCGTCTCCGCGGAGGAGGAAGTTGCAGCGCAGGGGAAGAGGCGGTTCAGCCCCGGTGGTTTCCGGGGTGACCGCCCCCCCAGGCCCCCGGTGGTTTCCGGGGTGACTGCCCACCCCCTCAGGCCCCCGAGTGGGGGCTCTGGTCTGGACATCGGGAGAAGCTCCCCTCCCCTCGATAGCCAGCTGGGCTGGTGATCAGGCCCCCTGGGCTTGGGGTGGGAAGGTAGGCTCTTCATGCCGTGGGGCTCAGTCCTCCTCATCTGGAGTCAGCCTGGGATTTCCCAATTCACGGAAACCACCCAGTGACCATCCTGCCCAGCCCAGTCCAGCTGCTCTTGGGATAGGATGGCACCCTGCTGCGCATTTGCTCAGGCGTGCTGCTGAGGGCAGCAGACTCCCTTTGGAAATAAACCCTCTCAGGACCAGCGTGGGTGAGAGTGGGCTCAGGTGGGGTCTAAGGCCAGAGGAACCAGGGCAGCAGCTCCAGGAAGGACCCGCAGCAGGGAAGGAGTGCGTGGGAAGGGCACGGGGTCTGGGGGTGAGGAGGGGCCTGCTGCTGCCACTCCCCTGGGGCTCTGAGCACCCTCTCTGTTGTCTGGGGAGTGAGGGACAGCAGAGTCCGCAGGGTGGGAGGCCTGGAGCTCAGGGGGCCTGCTGACTGTCTGCCCAGCAACGTCACCACCCACTCAGAGTCAGCCACCAAGAACTCGGTGGGTCAGTTCAGACAGCTCTCCCCAGAGCCGCCCCATGGGACTGTCACCCTGTCTGCCCGGTGCAGGCAGCTTCCCTGCTGAAACCAGCAGGGCTCCTGGCCCAAAGGGTAAGCACCGGATCGGACAGATTAGATGCCCTGCGTTGCCCACCCCAGCCTCCCCACCCCCTCCTCCAGCTGCCGGGGATTCCTTTCTGTTCTAGATCTCCTAAGCATGCCCAGGGCCTTGGCACAAGCTGCTGCCTCTGCAGAGCCTCATGGCTGTCCCATTTCTTTCTCAAATGCCACCTGCTTGGGGAAGTCACCAGAATGTGGAGCCCCAGGACGCAGGTGGCCCTGAGAGAGCAGGGCCCTTGACAGTCCCTGTACACAGCAGGTGCTCTATAAATGTGGCTGGGTGCTACAGTATGTCCTCAGGCCTCCCTGGTGGCACCACCAGCAGCCTTGCACCCTCTTTCGGAGGGCAGGCTCAGGACCGGGACAGTCCCCCAAAGATGCACAGACAACAGGCTGAGTGGACTCAGGGACACTGCCCTGACTTCCTCCGATGCAGACGGGCAAAGTCAGGGAGTTAATGTGTAGCTGAGATCAAACCAAGGATAGGAAATCTTCAAGGAAGACCAAGGGGTGACAAAAACAATGGCTGGCAGGGTGAGGCGGCCACACCTGTAATCCCAGCACTTTGGGAGGCTGAGGTGGAAGGACTGCTTGAGCCCAGGGGGTTGAGACTGCAATGAGCTGTGTTTGTGCCATTGCACTCCAGTCTGGGCAACAGCAAGATCCTGTCTAGAAAACTGTAAGCAGGGCCAGGCACCGTGGCTCATGCCTGTCATCCCAGCACTTTGGGAGGAAAGGCAGGTGCATCACCTGAGGTCGAGTTCAAGACTAGCCTAGCCAGTGTGGTGAAACCCCATCTCTGCTAAAAATAAAAAAATTATCCAGGCGTGATGGTGTACGCCTGTAGTCCCAGCTACTCGGGAGGCTGAGGCAGGAGCATTGTGGGAACCCAGGAGGCGGAGGTTGCAGTGAGCAGAGATTGGGAGAGCCACTGAACTCCAGCCTGGGTGACAGAGTGAGACTCTGTCTCAAAAAAAAAAAAAAAAAAAAAAAAAAAAAAACAACAAAAAACAACAAAACAAAAACAGTAAGAGGGAGTATCGGACAATAACCAAAAGAAAGGTGCAGAAATAGCCCTATCAGTCGAAACTGAAATTAAGGCCAACAGCGGACGGGTTTGGAGGAACTCTGTGTCAGTGACACTCCAAGACGCGGAAACCACACTCGACATACAGGCTTTCATGCATCCAACAAAGACTCACGGTGACAAGCATGTCCATTGGGGGGTCCCAGAGCCCAGGGGCTCAGGCCCACTGACGCCTGCAGGTCGGGCTGTCCCTTGGCCGCTCCTGGGCCTCGGAGCCCAGGCACATCACACGTCACACACCCCACTCTGCCAGGCCATGCGCCGCCAGCTCTGCTCTTCACCAGCGCAGGGGGCTGCCTCCTGTGGTGTCCCCGACCCATCACTGTACTGTGGGGATCTGTAGGGACAAACACATGGACTGCAGAGGACAGTTCTTGGTGACCTGGTGGCCCATGGTAGAGAAAGTGGGTGGCCCAGGCCTCTGGGATGGGAGCCCTCAGTGCCTGACCCACTTCCCTTCCCCGCAGTCCTCATCACCGGGGGCATTGTGGCCACTGCTGGGCGCTTCACCCAGTGGTACTTCGGTGCCTACTCCATGTATCCTTCCACCTGAGGCGGGGGTGGGCAGGGAACGCCCAGGGCAGACCCGGGGAGCCACTGCCCGGAGAGCCTTCGCCTCCGCTCTCCAGCACCACAGCCAGGCTGGGAGACAGGGCAGGCTGTCCAGGGGTTGGGCAGCCCAGGCCTCATCAGCCAGGTCGCTCGCCTGGGCCATTGGTAGTCAGTGGCAGACCTGCCAGCCTGAGTCCTGGCGAGGGGTGGGCGGGTGGTGCCCCCTGAGGGCCAGGGCCAGGGCCAGCACTGGGGCGTCCCTTGGACTGCTGGGATCCCCATCAGTCATCCCCCTTGGCCAGCCCCTCCACCTCCTCTGCCAGACTTCCCAACAAGGAGCAGTGGGCAGGGTGGTATGAGGGCAGGTGTGGGCCAGCCTCAGGTGCCCGGACCTGTTGGCACCTCCCGTGGCTGTGTCCTGCTCTGTGACCTCAGGCAGTGGCTGCCTCCCCCAACTTTTTTTTGATACAGGGTCTCGCTCTGTCCCCTAGGCTGGAGTGCGTTGGTGCCATCACGACCATGGCAGCCTCCACCTGGGCTCAAGCAATCCTCTCACCTCAGCCTCTGGAGTGTCCAGGACCACAGGTGCATGCCACCGCACCTGGCTAATTTTTAAATTTTCTGTAGAGATGAGGGCCTCACTATGTTGCCCAGGCTGGTCTCAAACTCCAGGGCTCCAGTAATCCTCCCACCTCAACCTCCCACAGTGCTGGGATTCCAGGCGTGAGCCGCCGTGCCCGGCCCCTCTCTGTGCTGTCTTAGTAAAGAGGGCTCGCTGTGTGGCCCCTCAGGCTGGGCTGTTCCTTAACCACATGGCTTCAGTGTGGCGGGTGTGTTTGTCTGCCTGCTGGAGTACCCCCGTGGAAAGAGGAAGAAGGGTTCCACCATGGAGCGCTGGTGAGTCACCTCCTGCATGCTCTGGGGTCTGTCCCAGGGCTGTGGGGCCCAGGTAGGGCCCACAGGGTCGGGTATGTGGAGTCTGGTTCCTCGCTGGGAGGCTCTGGAACCAACCCTTCAGTCCTTGTGGGCAAACCAAGGCCCGTGCCTGCCTGGCATGTTTCCTGGGAGGAAAGGGGCCCAGGTGCCCTGGAGCGGTCCCGAGGGGGAGAGGCCCACCGCACTGGCCCCTTCCTCCTTCCACAGTGGGCAGAAGTACATGACCGCCGTGGTGAAGCTGTTTGGGCCCCTCACCAGGAACTACTACATCCGGGCCGTCCTGCACCTCCTGTGAGTCCCGCCCCCGCCCCGCACCCCCTCTGGGGCTCAGGACGGTTTGGAGCAGACCCTCCCCACTGTCTCACCCGCCAGGCTGCCGGAACTGGAGCCACCGCCACTTACCTGGACATTTTTCTAAACCAAAATTCGGGTACCCAGGTGTGGCAGGGCTGCTGGAGCCTGTATCTTGCCTGGGTTTCCTGGTAGCATGGAAGGTCCCACGCTGTGTGTCTGGTGGTCGCTGCCAAGGCTGGGCACCTGCGTGTGGCTGCCCTGCATCTGCAGGGGCTTCTTCCCAGCAAGTGAGCAGAGCCACTCATGTCCCCACCCAGGACCCAAACAAGCCCCTGGCTCCGCACGTCCCCTTGGTCTGCGGTCCATCTTGTCCTGAGACCTTGTGGCCTTGGCCCCCATACCTGGGGCTCCGTTCCTCCTTCTGAGTGCCCTTCTGTGTCCCTGCCTCCCACCCACTGCCCCCCACCCCCAGGCTGTCGGTGCCTGCTGGCTTCCTGCTGGCCACCATCCTCGGGACCGCCTGCCTGGCCATCGCCAGCGGCATCTACCTGCTGGTGAGTAGTGCTCTCTGAGGTCGGCTCCCACCACCCCCAGCCCCAGCCCCTGCCCTGACACCCTCAGACACGCACGGCCCTTGAAGCCTGCTCTGCAGGCTGAGCCAGCCTGGAAGCAAGCGAGAGCTGGGGCGTGAGTTCACAGCGTGGCGGGACATGACCGCCGCAGCGGCTGCTCATCTTCTGTGTCTGGTCATTTCTCCGCTCATTAATCTGCAGCACAGCCCTGGGAGGGGTACTGGGGTCCCCGCTTTACAGACAAAGATGCGAAGGCTCACAGAGGTGCTGGAGCTGGCCTTGCAGTCACACCGCCGCTGCAGGCCCTGTGTGGGCTTGGGTCCACTTATCAGGCTTTTCTCAGCTGAACCCTGTCTGAGCTGATTCGTGGGCGGTGCCAGGACGCACGCTGTCACGCAGACATTTTTTAAACTGCCAACACCTGGGTTTGCTTTGTGAAAACAGGACCCTGTTAGAAGGCTGCTCATAGGATACAGTGGTCCTTCTAAGAGGGTGGGGATGGGTGGGAGGACACAGCACAGCGCACCTGCCTGCCCTGGGCTCCGGAGCAGATGGCTGCAGGCCGCCCTCACTGCGGGGTCTGTGGGCGGACAGAGCCCTTGGACTCTGCTCATTCATTTCCTTTGTCCCTACGGCCAAGTTCCTCCTGCCCGCAGAGGGAACTGCTTCCCCCGAGTGTGCATCTTCTAGTGTGCATGTGCAAGATTCTGTGCATGCCTTCCGCGTATCACGTGACATTTTTCCGACGGTATTTTCTATGGGATAGGAGATGAACAGTACACACTCCCAGGAGTCTGTGCTTTTAGTAATCCCTGTTCTTCAGCCTCTCCCCAAACCCCCATGTGCAGAAATGCCTGGGCACCCTTGGGGGACTGCTGCCCAGGGTGGCCTTCTGCTCTTCTGGGCCACCCTCCTACTGGACCTCGGGCCTGCCTCCCCGCCCCCCCCCACCCCCCATCCTGGGCGACTTGGGAGAATTTGGGTGCTGGAATTTGCATCTGGGAGTGGCCATCAGGGGGCTCCTCCAGAAGCCCAGGGGTTCTGCCGCGCTCCTGGCGTGAAGCAATAGCTTGGGTTGATGTCAGGCCGACCCAGGTCCTGGCTGTGTGTCCTCGGACGTGTCACCTAACCTCTCTGAGCGGCATTCGCAACCAGCCCGCCTGGGATTCAGTCCGGGACCCCTGGCGGGGTGGGCCTCCCTGGAGGGAGGGAGGGAGGGCGCTGGGCGCGGCCCAACCCCTCAGTGCCCCGCAGGCGGCCGTGCGCGGCGAGCAGTGGACGCCCATCGAGCCCAAGCCCCAGGAGCGGCCGCAGGTCGGAGGCACCATCAAGCAGCCGCCCAGCAACCCCCCGCCGCGGCCTCCGGCCGAGGCCCGCAAGAAGCCCAGCGAGGAGGAGGCGGCGGCGGAGGGCCCCTCGGCGGGCCCCCAGGACAACCCCATCCCGGTGACCGACGACGTCGTGTGACCGCACCCCGGACCCGCCCGTGCGCCCGCACGCCGCCAGGGGGCGCCCGCCCGCAATAAACGCAGCGAAGCCCGGAGCGTCTGAGCCTATGTGGGCGGGGCCGGGGGCGGGGCCGGGGGGGCCGCAGTCACCCCTTTCCTGCCCGGCGGGACTCCGCGCCGCGTTCGATTTTCGTTAGCATCGGCATCGCCTTCCTTCCCAGCGGGACACGAAATCCCGGGGTACCGTGTAGTCCACGACCTACGGTACCTGGATTCCAGGTGTGTGCCTCCCTAGAAAGGCGGTTCGGGCCTGCAGGAGGCCGCGGAGTCCTCCCTCGACAGTCTCCCAGGCCCCGCAGCCCATCCGCATCTCTGGGCATACTCAACGCCTCCCTAAGGGGGTTGGATTCCAGAGGAGGCCGCTGGCTTTGAGTGAAGAGGGAACAGGGCGGGAGCCTCTTTTCTGTAGAAGATGGGGTGAGGCTGGTGGTAGATGCGCCCTTGTTTGCCCTCACATTGATGTTGGGGTCCCTCCAGCTGCCCGGGACACTCAGGCCAAGTTGCAGGGGGCTTCTGGCCACCCCCGTACGTCACTTGTGCTGTGGCTGTGGCTGTGGCTGGCTGCACACACTTCAGCCCCTGCCCACTAATCTCACCACCTCCCCAGCCCAGTGCCCCCAAAGCTTTGCCAGGCGTCAGCAACCCTCCCCCCACCCTTGGGCTCTCTCCGAGGCACCCATTCCCCCAAGGTCGGAGAAGCCCTTGCCAGCTGCTTCCCAGCAACTCACACTTCAGAGCCAGGGTCCTCTCCTGTTCCAAACGCACCCCCCAGCAGCTTGCACTCAGCACCTTACAGACGTCTCAACCCAGCCTTGCCGAAGTGAAGCCGTCCCCCCAGGTCAGCAAGCTTCAGGTCACCCTTGATGCCCCCACACGCCCCCATCCATCCTGGCTCAAGTCCAGACCCCAGGCCTGTGGGCCATCCCCACCCATGTCACCTGCTGCCGCATACTCTGCGCTCACCTCCTGAAGTCATCCTGCTGCTGCTGCTGTTGAAACCCGCAGCCTCACCCTGTCCCTCCAGCTCAGTCCACAGCGTCAGAACCCACAGGCTCAGCTGCCTCCAGTGATAGTCACAAGCTTCTCAGGGCCCCAGGGCAGACATGAGCTGCACCCCAGCGCCCTGCCCTGCCCCCATGGTCCCTCATGCTGCCCATCTGGTGGCCACACTGCCACTCGGGCCCTTGGACATGCCCAGCATGCGCCTTCTCAGGCCCTACCTGCTGCCTGGTTCCACCCTCTTCCCCTTCAGGTCTTCAGGCCTCCCTGGCCCTCTGCTTGGAACTGCAGCCTCCCTTAGAGCCTCTGTCCTGGACTCATTCACAGACTAAATACCACATGCTTCATCAGTCACCGTGGGGGTAGGAGGGGTTTTGTCCCTTTTATTCTCACCCTGCTCCCAGTGCCAGGCACTTAGTAGAAACTCAATATGGCTGGGCACAGGGGCTTACGCCTGTAATCGCAGCCCTGTGGGAGGCTGAGGCTGGATGATCACATGAGCTTGGGAGTTCAGGACCAGCCTGGCCAACATGGTGAAGCCCAGTCTATACTAAAAATACAAAAATTAGTTGGGTGTGGTGGTGCACACCTGTACGGGGCAGGTGAGGTGGGAGATTCACTTGAACCCAGAGCTGAGGTTGCAGTGAGCTGAAGTCACACCACTGTACTCCTGCCTGGGCAACAGAGTGAGACCCTGTCTCAAAAAATGAAAGAAACTCAATAAATGTGTTGAAAGAAAATTTCACCTCCTGGACAAAGGCCACTACCTCCAGGAAGTCTTCCCTGAGGCCTCCTCCTCTGGAGGCCTGAATGGAGTCCTTATTCTTATTTGCAGCCCCCCTGCCCCCATCCCCAGGCCCCTGCACACAGTAGGTGGGTGAGCCAGAGGGTCAGGCTGACAGCTGCCCAGTGGCCCAACGGCAATGTCAGCCCTCAGGGCTGGGGGCCTAGAGACTGAGGCCTGAGACTGCCACAGGCCTGGGCCCCCTTTCCACAACTGAGGCTGCTCACTCTGGGACTCCGTAACTAAAATCTGCAACAGAGGGCCTGGCGCACAGTGCTCATGCCGAGGCAGGTGGATCGCAAGGTCAGGACTTCAAGATCAGTTTGGCCAAGTTGTTAAAACCCCATCTCTACTAAAAATACAAAAATTAGCTGGGCGTGGTGGCAGATGCCTATAATCACAGCTGCTTGGGAGGCTGAGGCAGAGAATTGCTTGAGCCCGGGAGGCGGAGGTTGCAGCGAGCCGAGATCATGCCACTGCACTCCAGCCTGGGCAACACAGTGAGACTCTGTCTCAAAAAAAAAAAAAAAAAAAAAAAGTCTCCAACAGCCCCTGGGCCCTGCGCGGCTAGTTCTCCCTCAGGAGGGGCGTCTTGGCGTTGGCTGTTGATCTACACCAGGAAGACTTGGGCCCATGGCCTTGGGCTCCGGAGCCAAGGGTGCTGGCAGCTCATCCTCAGAGGCTCCTGCTGTGGGGGCCGAGATGGTGCCCCTAGGCGCTCCCCGTCATTACAAAGGATGGGGCTCAAGCCTTGGCTTCGGGGAAGGAGGCTCATCCCGGTTCCTGGAGTATCCTCAGAGACCACGTGTGGGCAGAGCAGGGACACCTGTGCTCCCCCAGGTTAGGGCTCAGTCCCACCTGCATGCCCCACTCACTGCTGCAGAGGCCTTTCTGGAAGAATGCCCCAGAACTGGGTCAGTGGCTGGCCTGGGCCAGGGTGAGCAGGAGAACGTCCATCCCACTGAATGTGGCCCGCTGAACGGGCGTCTGAGGATGTGTTCATCAGTTTAATAATACATGTACACTTAAATAATTGTTTAAGAAACAGAGGTACTTCCAGGGAGGTTGGGAAGAGGGAGCCGGGGGGGCCTGAGGCCAGTGGTGGGTGAGGGAAGTCCAGGGGGTGGGGCCACGGTACAGGTGGCCACGGGACAGCTTTTCTGTGGCTGTGGTTTTAAGGGCCAGAAGAGGTGCTGAGCTCCTTCTAGTCCCAACCAGAGGCTGGAGATGCGGAGAATGGTGGGGGCCACCCTCCAGACCCGGAGGATGCCCATCTCCCTGATCCGCCAGCTGCCAGAGCTCTGTCCCTGCCCAGGACCCCAAGGGCAGTGTGGGGGGAGCACAGCCTCCCCTGCAGGCCCAGGGTATAAATAATAAATACACATAAATAGGGGGTGCCCTCTGGGGAGCCCATGTGTCCAGTCTGGGGGCTCCAGGGCCGGGGCGGTCACACTGACCGAGGAAGCACACAGGTGCAGCCGACGGGCACGCGGATGAACTCAGCGTGGAAGGCGAAGGCCCCGGGGGTCGGGGGTCCCACGCCATGGAGGGAGCAGGGCTGGCGGCGCAGCACCAGCAGGCTCTGGAGAAGTCGCACGGAGTTGAGCGCAGCTGTCTCTCGGCCTGTCCGGGCGTCAATGCAGCCTCCGCATAGGCACTCGGCGAAGGCCAGCTTCTGCGGGTAGCGGTCCCCGTCCGTGTCCACGCTGTGGGATTGGGGGCACAGTGAGTCCCCGGCCCTACCCTCACCTCCTCAGCCCCCTCTCCCCTCAGGGCCCCTCCCTGTGTGCTCGGGACCGGACCCGAGGCGGTGAGGGCCGAGTCACACGGGTTGGAGGATGCCCATCTCCCTGATCCACCAGCTGCTGAGAGCTCTGTCCCTGCCCAGGACCCCGAGGGCAGTGTCGGGGGAGCACAGCCTCCCCCGCAGGCCCAGGGTATAAATAACAATAAATACACATAAATAGGGGGTGCCCTCTGGGGAACCCATGTGTCCAGTCTGGGGGCTGGATAGTCTGGCTCATACGTGGTGGTGATTCAGCAGCACACCGCAGAGGCTGGAGGTCTCCAGGAGCCTCTCTCCCACTTCGTCGCCCAGCCCCACTTCCACAGGAGCTCAGGTGGGGGGCCCAGAATTTTCCCAGGGGACCCTGACCACCAAGGACAGTGGCAGGCAGAGGATGGCAGAAAGAAGCAGCAGCCACCCAGGTCAGCAGGGCTGGAGGGATGAGCTCAGGTGGCTACGCCCACCTGACAGGTGAGAACCACTGAGATGCAGAGAGCTCTGCAGGCAGCTGGGGCCCTGCCAGGGAGGGGCAGCCCCGTGCCACATCAGGACCCCCAGGCCCTCACCGGTATCTCCAGGGTGAGATGGAGCGCTGGTGGGTGTCCGCCTCCAACAGCTCCTCTGGACGCAGCACCGGGCACTGGGTTGCAGCCGAGGACCCCTCATACTTCCTCTGGTGGCCTGCTGCCTCCAGGCTGGACACCAGGGCTACAGGCAAAGCCTGCCCCCACTTGGCACCTCGAGCCAGCAGGTGTGGGGGGGCCTGGCCTCCAGGCAGTTCCTCAGCCGAGTAGCAGCGTGGGGTCCCGTGAGTGTGGAGGTGCCCCCTAAGGGAGGGGTTGTGGTGGGCCAGGCATGTGTGCAGCCAGGTCAGAAACAGGAGGCCAGGGAGGAGCTGGGGAAACAGGCAGGTGGGTGGTTAGGGGTGCCCAGGGCAGGGGTACCTAACTTCCACCCCAGCTTTCCTTGTTCCCCGGGGCCAGATGGGGTACAGCCCTCCCTCTGTAGAGGGGGAAACTGAAGCCCAGAGAGGCTAGCCCTTCAGCCTGACACCCATGCCAGAGCTCTGAGGAGTGAGTGTATCGCTGCCCCCACCCCAGCTTTAGGAGTTTCCTAGACCCCATCCCAACATCCCCATCCCAGGGCTCAGCTGCTTCCAGCCCAGGCTTCGCCACCCAAGTGGCATCCCTCCAAGTGGTGTGTGGAGGGGCAACAGGCTCACCCTCATGGTGGTGGCAGCAGGACAAGCTGGGCTTGGCGGCAATCCCACAGGTGCACCTGACCGCACACCTGGCAGTGGCCGCTCTTATACCTGAGGCCGGCCACACCTGGGGGAAATTCCGGCACCACTTCCTCCTCAGGAAGTGCCCAGCTGGAGCATTTCCTCCTCTGGTCCCTGCAGTCCCACCTGCGGCATCAGGACACAAAGCGCGAGGAGCCCCTCGGAGCTCCGTCCTGTTACTCTCCTCCCCCAAGAGAGACTCTGCCCTGCCTGAGCGTCTGCCCAGGGTGCCTCCTTGTCTGACATTTTCAAACCTTTTTTTTTTTTTTTTTTTTTTTGAGACAGAGTTTCGCTCTTGTTACCCAGGCTGGAGTGCAATGGCGCCATCTCGGCTCACCGCAACCTCCGCCTCCTGGGTTCAGGCAATTCTCCTGCCTCAGCCTCCTGAGTAGCTGGGATTACAGGCGCTCGCCACCATGCCCAGCTAATTTTTTTTTTGTATTTTAGTAGAGACGGGGTTTCACCATGTTGACCAGGATGGTTTCGATCTCTTGACCTTGTGATCCACCCGCCTCGGCCTCCCAAAGTGCTGGGATTACAGGCTTGAGCCACCGCGCCCGGCAAACCTTTTGTTTTTTTTAAGACGGAGTCTCGCTCTGTCACCCATGCTGGAGCGCAGTGGTGCAGTCTTGACTCACTGCAACATCTGCCTCCCAGGTTCAAGCGATTCTCCTGCCTCAGCCTCCTGAATAGCTGGGACTACAGGCATGCGCCACCAAGCCCAGCTAATTTTTTTGTGTTTTTAGTAGATACAGGGTTTCGCCATGTTAGCCAGGATGGTCTTGATCTCCTGACTTCATGATCCACCCGCCTCGGCCTCCCAAAGTGCTGGGATTACAGGCGTGACCCCGGCCTTGAACCTCCTGTAAGAGGGTTTCTGCTTGCGTCTCCGATGTCAGCACCCTGCTGATTCAGCTTGTGTTTTGCGTTTGGACGTGATGATGATGGGGGCTTCTGCAGCCTCTGCAGCTTCCTGTCTCCTGCTAGGGGGCCGAGGGCGGTTCGATGTTTTAGCTGAGATCACCAAGATTAGGTGGGCTCATTGCCCCCTTCCCCCAGCAGGGAGAGGTCCCTGAGGAGCCTGGGGAAGCGGCCTGGTCTTCATGTCTCTGTTGGGCTTCTTCGGTTTCATTGGGAAAAAAGCTCAAGCTAACAAGTCTCAGCTGGAGGTATGAGGACTCTGGGAGCTGAGGAGCAGTGCATGCAGGAAGATTTTTGACAGCGGGGCCAGGAGCCACCCTTGTCCCCCTTGCTCAGTGAGGCTTGCTGGGGCGGGGGTGCCAGACGTGCCTTTGTTTCCCTGGAAAGGGGAGAGCTGGGGCCAGATCTCAGGAAGTTTTGAATGTTGGGGGACTGATGTCATGTGGAGCGGGTTCCCCTGGGGTCCCCAGGGCCCCTGAAGGTGTGGGGGTCTGTCCGCTGTGGTCCCCTTAGCTGTGGGGTGAGGGTACTCATGTGCCACCGGCCTTTCCTTCCCGCCATGGTGCAGATATGCTCCACAGAGGCGCCCTCTCAGCGTAAAACCTCAGCCTCTCCGAACACAAAAGCCCGCAAGTGGGGAGGGCTGAGGTGGCGCTGGGACCCCTCTCGGTGACAGGAGAAGGACCCCTGGGCCCTCCAGCACCTCCTCTTGGCTATGTCCCTTTGGGCTCGTCTGCCCTGGGCCTTCAGGGGTGAAGGAGGCCATGCCTCAGGGCTGACGATCTGGGAAGAATCAGAGACGGACTGCTGGAGTCCCCAGGGCTGCTCCTTCTACAGTGCCCTCTGCTTGCATACCTCCTATGACGGGAGCTCACTAACCGCTGGTTTTCTAGGGCTGTGCTAACCGTGTACCACAGACAGTGGGGGGTGAAACGGCAGAAGTTTATTCCACAAGGCTCTGGAGCTGGGGTCTGATACCAATGTGTGTGCAGGCTGGGTCCTCAGCGCCTGCCGGCTGGGGGCTAACAAGCACTTACTGCTGTGAGACAGGGTGGAGCCAGTGGTGTGCGGGGTAGGGGGGGCTGGGTTTGTCTTTTCTCCAGGGTCCACTCAGCCACTGTTCTGGGGACAAAAACTCAAGACCCCTCAACCTCTGCACGCCAAGCACAGCCCCGGGGAGGGGGTGTCGGGACCCCCAACCTCTGCATGCCAAGCGCAGCCCCGGGGAGGGGGTGTTGGGATCCCCAACCTCTGCATGCCAAGCACAGCCCCAGGGAGGGGGCTGGGCCCCTCCCTGGCTCTGGCATCTTCAGGGGCCTTGCCTGGGCTGAGACCTTCGAAGCAGCCCCTGGGCTGCTTCTCCTGCCACAGAGGGGGGCCCAGGGAAGCCTCTTGGGAAACATCCTGAGGGGCCTGCAGCTGGGGCCCAAGACGTTTTGTGCAAACCCTGACAAGTTACCACGCTCGGCCTGGCCAGGCCTGGATCTCCCCAGCGCTCTGTGCTTCTGCCCAACCTGCAGAGATGTGGCTTGGGGTTTGGGCTGCAGGGCTTGCCAGATGGGGGATCTTGAGGAGGGAGGGTTGGAGCTCCTGTGGTCCATGATCCCTAGGGTGCCTTCATGCATGGTTGGGGGAAGCACAAGCTGATGTCAGTCCTTGTCCTCTGCTGGGAGCCCTTGTGCAGTGCGAAACCTGCTCAACCATACCCAAGAAAGAGAGGAAGTGGGAGGGGAGGGGCCCGTGGGAATGGAGGAAGAGGCCAGGAAAAGAGGGGGAGAGGGAGACGCCCTCCACCTCGGCCTGCTACCCTTGCTCTCATTCCCAGGGGGAGCTGGTGACCCTCCCTCCTGGCACGGGGCACAAGGTCTGTGCCACATGGCCACACACTGTTCCCTGGGGTAGGACCTGATCTGCCTGAGGAGGTTAAATGGCTGGGTGGGTAAGTTCGGCAGGGGTGATCCAGTGGGTGGGGGCGGAGGGAGGGAATGAGCGAGCAGAGGGAGAGGAGTACCCAGGCACAGGGGTGTCTTCCCTGTCCCCTAACCCTCAGCTGCGGTCCCCCATCCTACGCCGTGCCCAGGGAGCAAGGAAGAAGGCAGACCCCCAGTGGACTCGCTCCAGCCAGCCTTCCTCCTCTGACCTGGGCGGCCTTCTTCCCAGCGGCGTCGCCCCATCCACGCTCTGCTCTGGCTCTGAGGTGGGATGGCCGGACCCTGGGGCACGGGCTGTACCATGGGACAGTGCCAGAGACCCATCTCCCCACCTTCTGCTGGCTCCTAGCGCTGTCCCAGGGTCAGATGGCCTGGAAGCCAAGCCTAGGAGACTGGAGGGACCTGCAGGCTGGGTGGGGCAAGGGGTCTCGTGGGCACAGAAGACAGGAGGACCCAGGGCAGCTGGTGCTCCTGCGGGTGGCTGAGGCAAGGGCAGAAATAACCGGGTTGGGCAAGACTGGAAAATCGGCAGTAGGAAGGCTGGAGGGCGGCCCAGAGGTGGAGACCCAGACAGGCCGGCTCTGGAACCACATCCTGGCCCGCCCCCAGCAGGCCGCGCCCCGGGGACCCTAGTCGGGCTATGCAGAGCGAGGGACCTCAGACAAACGCAGAGCCAGAGCCGGACGGGTCAGAGGCAGCTGAGACCCCAGGACACGCAGCAAGGGAGATGCCCTCTAGATGCAGGCAAGGAGGGACCCATGGCTGGAGCCCTTTAGCTGCCCTGAGGGGCGAGGTGGGGGGGGCCAGGGGCACCAGGCAGAGAGGAAGCAGCTGGGCTCTGCAGGGCCTTCCCCAAACATCAAGGTGCAGGCGCACAGCAGGTCACGCACAGCCAGCTCCTACAACCACATAGGCAGGTTGGGGCACTGTTGGCCCCATGGGGGAGCAAAATCATCTTGAGACATGGGCTGGGGCAGCAGAGGGCCCCTCCCTGTGGCATGACGACCCTCCCCATGGGTTTTCCCTGGCAGGAGTGGCCTCATGGGCCTCAGCCTTCCTGCCACCCCTGACACGTGTAGGCCCCTCTAGGGCCGCCGCCTCTCTCCATCCTCCTGCCCAGCCAAAGCCCCACCAAATCGGTGGGTGGGAGTGTGGCTGTGGAGGAGGGGCTGTGGGCAGAGGCCCTGGGGCACCCCCTGGGAGGGGACTGGAGGGCGGGTGCCATTGTTGCCAGAACCCCACAGAGGCTTTCCAGGCACTGCGTGGGGAGCGGGGATGTGTGCGCCAACCAACCGGAGGAGGATGTCCCTGGAGGGCGTGGACACCTGAGGATGCCCATCATGCAAGGCTGTCCTTCCCAGCTGCCTGGCTGAACGCCCTCTCCACTAGACCCTATGGGGGCAGAGTTCCCCTCCTGGAACAGGCCCCTGTGTACTGGCGTCCAAGAGCTCCAGAGCCCAGGGTCTGCTGCCACCTGTTTCGAGTTGACACCTAGCTCCAGACTCAGGTGCCCAGGGCTGTGGCCAGAGGCTGACCAGCCACAGACGGGACTCCCCAGTCCACAGGGGGGCTGTGGTGGGCTCACCTGTCCGCTCCTGGACTTCAGAAACGCAGTGACTGCAGGTGCTGGCTGGAGGTGCCCTACACGGGGCAGAGTGCATCTCCTGGCCTCCAGCCCTGGTGGTGCAGCCCACAGATGACAGGCTGGCACCCAGGGTGGCCTGGCCCCCAGCTCTGTGGCCTTGAAGTCCACCCTCTTCAGAGAATGGGAATTCCCTCTGCACCTGGCTTTGACCTGACAGCAAATCGGGTAAGCCTAAAAAAATTGCCCCAACACAGGATCCAGGCCGCTGGGACGTGATGAATTGCGTGGGCTGCCATGTGGGAGGGACGTGGACATCAAACGGGAAAGTCCCCTCCGGAGCACACGGGCGGTCTGCAGTGCTCGCTCATGCGCAGCTCCTCTGCCCATGCTCGAACTGCCATTTCATCCAAGGGGAGAGCAGCTGGGACGCAGGTCATGTCGGGAACACAAGTGCAGGTGGCTGCCTCCCTGGGGGAGGGAGGGAGCTCGCTCTCGGGGCCTGTGTCCCG